ATGGAGAGGAGATGGCTTAGAGGACCTGAGTTGGTGCCTGGGCTCCTGAGCACCCCCACAGGGCAGACTCTGGGGGGTGCTGGGAGGCATTCAGACAACAGTCAGCCTTGCCCTTACAGAGCTCCCTAGTTAGTGAGAGACATGTGCAGTGACATAAATTACAGTAGAATATGCAAAGTGCCATTCGCTGAATGCTTGGCAGGCAGTGCTAAGAGGGTACGTGCAGGACCCCATTTACAGCTCATAACAATCTTGGAGGTCAGAGCAATTATGATTATCTCATTTTACTTGCAAGCAGATGCTGAGAGGGGTTAAGTGGCTTGTTCAGGATCATTGGGTGACACAACCCTCCAGCAAACCCAGCCGTGATGTACAGCAATAGACTATGCAATGGCAGGGACTCAGGAGCTGTGTCACAGTGGGCTTCACGCAGAAGTTCACCCCTGAATTGGATCTAGAAGAGTCATCGATTCATTCTAGGCAGAGGGAACAGGATAAGCAAACAGCAGACTACGTGTGGGGTCTGGGATGCTTGAGGCCTGGCTCTGACCTAGCCAGTTGGAGTCCTAATACACAGGGTCATGGGCAATTTTGACATAATCCTCTAAGCCACCGAAGCTGTTGGCAAGAGTGATGTGGTTGGATTTGAGGTTCAGGTAATCTTCTAAGGCAGGTGGCGTGATGGGGAAAGGCTGGACAGAAGGAAAGAGGGAGAGACTGGGCTGGAAAGGGCCTAGCCAGGTGGGAAGATGTAGCCATGCTTAAGGTAGGGTGAAGGCAGGGTGAAGAGCAGCTGAGGTTGGAGAGAGGGGGATCAACAAGTCCTGGTAAGGATCTGTGCGTAGGAGCAATGCTGAGGGAGTCCTTTCTGTCACCAGCCCCTTGCACAGTCACTGTTGGTGAGATGACCATTGACAGAGCTTTGCCCACCCATGTGACTTGGCCATATCTGAGGACTTTGGGGTGAAGGGTGGCCAGATGTGGGGTGCTGTGACCATGTTGGACCACCAGCAACTGGGGTGGTTGATTCTGGTAAATGGGAAGTGAGTGATGTTGAGGTCATCCCCAACTCTGGCCTTGATTAATTTTCTAAGCCACAGTGTGCTAGCTATAAGTGGGGCAATACTGAAGATTCGGTGGGTGGGGGGCTCTAGAGCTCTGTGGGTCAAGCCCTGTTGCTGCCCCATGGCGGTGGTGGTGCCGACAGACAGAACACAGACACCCGAGCTGCTGTACAAGGTCATTTCTTGGTTGTCATGGTTGGTTTGGTACATCTTAGCATCTGCATCATACAAAGGGGAGCAACAGCCATGGCTTTTGGTCAGGTTCAGGGGGGTATGGGGCGTGCCTCTCCCCTCCCCCCAGGCACTGACACACTTAAAGGAAGCAGAGCAACGAGGACACAGCACACATGTGGGAAAGGGATTCCCCCGCACGAGCAGGATGGCCGTCCTCACCGGCTCTTTCTCGGAGACCCCTACCCCCAGGGCCAGCACAAGACCCTCATTCTCTCCCCCGCAAAGAGGGTGGGCAACAGGCATAGGGAGCGCAGCAGTAGACGTGTGGGGAGGCGTGTCCTCAGGCCTGGGAGCGGTCCCTCCCTTGAGCCAGTCCGTCCCCAGAACCTCAGTGCAGTCAGGGGCCTGCCAGGCCCTGGAAGGATGGAGTAGTCAGGCGGTAGCAGGTGGGCGACCTGGAGAGCTGGGTGCCAGGGGCTCTTGGGGCTGGGGATATGCCCCTTTTCCACTCTAGCCACAGCCTTGGGGGTTGCTCGTTGCCCAGCAGCTGCCCTCCTGAGGGGCCTGGGCTGAGTCCTCCTGCCCTGTTTCTGGCCCCTTCTCTCGCTCTGTGTGTACACAAACCTCTCTCAGCCCGGGAAGGGCTCGTGACTTCCTGCTTACACTTGGAGGAGACCCCATGGCTTGCCATTAAGAACATATTCCATAAGCTTCTGGACTTGAAGTGGAGAATGAGTGTCCTGTTTAGAAATCCTGGCCTGTTGCCATGGAAAGTCAGAGATGCAGCCCCGGGCACAGGAGCATGGTGGCGGCCCTCCTGGGCAGGCACACTCCTGGGCAGGCCATCCTGGGGCAGGTGAAAATCTGATTTCACCCAGGTGCAGAGGCTGCGCCTTCCTATCTCCCTCACTGGATGTCATGTGTTCAAGCATCAAATTCAGTGTCTCCCTCTCTGCACCTGCCTCCCAAATGTGTCAGATGCAAACTGCCCCATTTGCGTGGGACATGCTCATCCTCTCCTTTCCAGTGGGCCACACACATTTCCCACCCCCATACGTCACATGGATATACATGCTAGAGCTTGCGTGTTTCCTGCTAGAGATCCCCAGATTTTGTCTCCACACTACTGCGTTGCCTATGACATCCTCTCTGGGCCAAGCTTTATTTCAGGCATCTCTCCACAGTCAGGTCTGTGTCAGAAATGAGTCATTGTGTGTTCCCCTGGACTGGAGAGTGATCCCTTACCAGTTGTTTGGGTTGGGGATGCCACGGGTTGAAGTGCTCCCCCAGCTTCTGCCTCCAGGAAGACCTCTAGTCCTGCTGCTTGGGAGCAGGTTGGAGGCGTCTGGGATATGCACCAGACTAAGCCAGTTGGCCTGGAGGGGGCTCTCATGTGGGAAAAGCCCTGAGCCCACTCTGGGGGTGCAGAGGGGCTGTGGAGAGCACCAGAGATGCATTCTGAGGGTCTGAGGTCCCTCAGTTCTCCTTGGGTTATCTTATGTGGCTCCCCAGCTCATCTGAAGCTCCCTGGGCCCCAGACTCCACTTCCCATTTGGTACTCTCTGTGCCTGGTACAACCTTGGAGGTTTGTGAGCCCCTGTCAGGGGATTTTGAACAGTTGGGATCCACCCTTATGTCCAAGTGGAGTTCACATGGGGCCGGTGAGATCAGGGGCTCTGGACTGGAGGCCCTGCCTGTCTGTGCCCCAGGACCCCAAGGCTCTAGAGAATGACTATCCTGCCCAGGATAAAAGACACAAACAGACAAGCAGACAACTGGGGTGCAAAGTGGCTCCCCATCACAGACACAGGCACAGACACAGACATAGGCCCCCTGGGAGGCAGGACACAGGGGCACAAGGAGGGCTGGGGGCGGGGAGGAAGGGTAAGTCCAGGGAGCTGGAGCTACTGAGGCCCTGCTCCCTAGAGAAGGGACAGACCAGGGGACTTTTCTGGTTCCCTAAACATATGGATTGTTTTGTCTCGTCTTTAAAGTATTGCAGTCTAACTGATATGGCTTTAACTATTGGAAACGGCCAGAGAAGACACATGTCTGTCTCTGAAATAAAAGCATAAATCCACTAAAATGGAAAACCTGCAGAATGCAAACTGGGGCCAATGGGACAGGGGCTCTGGGGGCAGGCAAGTCGCCCCCTCCCTGGCCCCTGCTTTGGGGGTAGGCCCTGATGGGGGCCCAGAATGGCTTCTTGGGGTCCTGCCCGGGTCTGTCTCAGTGAGCTTCTGAGGATCCCAGGCAGAACCCCACAAGGGTGGGAGGACTCTAGGCCAAGGACAAGGTCTCCTGTTGGGTGTGGCCACCTGTGACCAAGAGTCTGGGGTCGAGAGGGCATCATAACCCTGTTTCTCCCCAGGCACACATGCTCCTGCACACAAATGCACACACTAGTCTCAGCACACCTGGCAACTCTCTCAAGTGCTTATTTTTACATCTAACACACACCCTTCACTCCTGACAAGCATGGGTGTGAAAACACACCCATATACAAGCTAACGCCTGCAGGTTCTAACACGCCTATGAGGTGGCTAGCACACACACAAGACACAATCTCACTTCATACACACCAGCTCAAAGAAGCACACACCTTATCCAACGGAGATATGATGACTAACACACATGTGCAATCTCTAGACACACAGCTTCTGCTGTACATGCTCAAGCGAGCATGGCACACACCTTCCTCTCACTTGCTCCATAATTCCCCACTCCTTGCACACTGACTGAGCAGGAGACCTTGACAATTTGGGCTGGGGGAGAAAATGCCAGTCTCACACATCCCAGAGGAGAGTTTGTTCTTGGCCAGTGAGATGAATAGACAGATGTCTTCTGTCCAGTGGGAACTGGCTTCTCCCCCAAAGGCTTGGGGCTTTGGCCAGGAAGGGTCCTCCTGGGGACCGTGGGGCCCTGGAAGCACATGGACAGGACAGGGTAGGGAAGAGGAGTGGCTAGGAATGGGGGCAGCTTGGCTGCACCAATGGGGAGGGTCCCATGGCATGGGCCATCGCTGCCCAATGGCTCCAAGTGTTTTCTGGGGGGACCTGGGCAGCCCCTTGGTTGGACCAGCTGGGCCCAGCCTGGCAGTGGGGGCCCAGGACCTAAGTGAAGTGTTGGGGAACAAGGGGCTGCCCTACTCTGGGGTCCCTCCATAGATGAGTTAAAGTCCAAAGAGGATCCATTTGGAGGAACTGGCTTGGCAGGGATTATGCCTCTTTGGGTGGGGGTTGGTGGAGGGGTGTTCCTGGGCTGGGTGTCACGGGGGTTAGAAGGAGAGTCCCAGCCTCCTGCCTAGACCCGGGCCTGGCTGGAACACAGCTGGGCTGGGCCCTCACAAGACAGGCCTACCCTGATCTCTTCCTCAGAGCCAGGCCACTCAACGCCCCTGCCCTGACCTGGAGGCCCACAGGGGTCAGAGGCCAAAGGTCAGCATGCTGGGCAGGGCTGGAATGTGTCATTACTTTGGCTGGCTGGGGACAGTGGTCCACCTGGCAGTGGGGTGCATGAAGGAATGTATGGGGGTTACCACACTAGTACAGACCTTGGGTTTCTTGAGGGGGTCCCTGGTGCCTCTGGCACTGAGTTCAATGCCCCCTGCTGGGGAAAAGCTGTTTTCCCTTCCTGGAGCTACTTGGGAGTAAGGTGGGGACTGGATACCCTGGGATGAAGGTGGGTATGAGGGAGTGCTGAGGGGAAGGAGCCCCTGGCCGGGGAAGAGGGGGCAGAGGCCAACTGAGGTTTTCCCCTTCAGAACTGAGACTTAACTGAATAAAAAGAAAAGAAAGAACCCAAAAGAAAAAAGAGAAAAGAAACAAGTGGAGTGGGGGTAGGGCTGGAGGGCCGGTTACTTCTTGAACATGTCCTGCAGTGGCCCGGGCAGGTATTTCAGCACCGTGTCCAGGATGCTCTCTTCCTCTTCCTCCTCCTCGTCCCCACAGCCCGCAGGGATGGCCTTCTTGGGTCGGGTCAGACTGCCCTCGCATGGCTGCTCCAGCGCGGCCTTCTCTTCCGCCTCCTTCTCCTCCTTCTTCTTCAGCCCATACTAGTGAGGCAGAGGGCAGAGATGAGCATGAGTGGGGGCACAGAGAGGTCTGAGTCTCAAGGTCATGCGGAGCTGACTGGGGCCTAGGCCTCAGCCTTCTCATCTCTACAACGGCACATTCCTTGTAGGGCTGTGCCCTCAACAGTAAAGGGCTCAGAGAAGGGGGTGGTGAATGGATTCATTTACATGAATACTTGCCCATAGTAATTTCTCTGCTCTTTTGAAATTCCTCAAGATCTGAAAACTTGAAAGTTCTCCCTTACAGAGCCACATTTTGGTAACTTGACTTGACTTGAGCCGATGGAAAGCTACTTGTCAACTTGACTTATTCAGGTGCTGCTATCAGACGTGTGTGGAACTATGAGGGTGGGGCGGGGTGTCAGGCAACAGCAACAGGTACTCCGGGCACTATGGGACTTTTCAAAAATTCCCAAATTCAGGATTCCAAACATATCTGGTCTCTCGTTTTGTGTAACAGTAAACACCAGGAAGCATTTGGTATGTGCTGGATCTTACATATTCCCCACAAATTTCCTTCAAGGGGGTGTCATTTGACACCCATTTTTCTGATGAGTAGACTAGGCTCAGAGAGAGCTAGGTCTAACTAAGCTGGGTCTCGGGGGCCTGAGACCAGGGGCCGTTTGGGGACCGTTTGACCCTGGTGCTCCCTAGCCTCGGGGCGGTGGGCAGTGCTGACCTTGTCTCGTATCTGCTGCCGGACCTTCTCACGCTCGGCCTCCATGCGGGCATGCTTGGCCTTGCGCTCCTCCTCCTGCTGCCGCAGCGCTTCCTGCCGCTCTTCTTCCTTCTTCTGGGCATCAGGGTCCTTCTCCTCCTCTCCCCCCAGCATCTTCCCCATGTCCTTGGTGGCCCCTGTGGGGTTGGAGAGGGGCGAGGGAGGAGTCAGGGTTGGAGTAGAGGGGTCTGGTGTGCTGAGCTCCCACCTCCCAGCCCGTGGATCATGCTTGGGTGGAAAGTGAGGGGTGTGGGGCTCAGACCTCACCTCCAAGGGCCTGCTTCATGACGAAGTCCATGTTCCAGGCTCCAGTTAGTGCGTCGTAACCTGTAGCTGAATTTGCATACAGCGCTGCTGGCCAGCTGACTCCGGGAGATGTGACAACCTGCAAAAGAGGGGTTGTGGGTCAAATAGGGGAGGTACTCTGTGCAGACAGAGCAGTGGTGCAGTTGATTGGCCAGCAGACAGCTCCCCCCTCCCCCCCCCCCCCCTGGGAGCTACTAGTCTGAGGCTGAGACCCAGTACTGGGAGGGGAAAGTCGCTGGGCGGCAAGTCCTAGGTCTCAGGTGACAGCCACCAACTTCTCATGCTGGTATTTAAAACCTTCATTTTGCCACCGTTTAAATCTGATTGCAACCAAAAGTGTTGGAACCTGGAATTTGGAGCCAGGGGGAGCCAGGTTCTGCTGCCACTCCTCAAACCTTATTTGCCAGTCGTCTTCAGGAAGTGACTTAACCTTGGGCCCAGTTTCCACCTCTGCAAGACAGACATGGCAGTGGCCCCTTACTGGGAGCTACTCTGGGCACTGAAGAAAATTTCAGCCTGGGCCACCAGGTCCAGCCCTAGATCTGCTTCATGTGGGAACAGAGTTTGTGCACATCAGAGGTAGTGAAAACATAAGAACAGCTAGCCTGGATGAATATAACCAGACTTCTGAAATGAGACAAATGGAGAAGTTACTTTTATTGCATCATCTATGTAAGTTTTGCATTTTATAGTTTAATATTGATTTTTATTTTGAATTACACATGGGAGAATTGGAGACACTATCATCTCAGAGCTTCAGGCCTTTAAAGTACCTTGTGTGGGGCTGGGGAGGCACTCGGCTAATGTTAATCCTCCTTCTCCTCTCCCTAAATCACCAACTCTCATTTTTTATTATATTTTTTATTTGTTATCTTTTTTTGCCTTAGCAGATTTTCTCCAAATTAAATCTTAATGGAAATCTCAATATGCACAATATGTCAAAAGTGGAGCTATTTTGATGGAGTGTGGGGTGAGAGGCTGGAGAGCCTGGAGCTCCTCTCACCCAGCCTCCTCCTCACCCTGGTTCCCCTCCCCCCCTCCCCACCACACATACACACCTTTGAGAATTTGAATCTGGATGCTCTGTTACAGATTGCCTTTCTGTTTTAGCTATTCCGTGGCTCCATTCACTGATTCATTCATAGGCAAAGCCACCACCAATCTCTTTCTGGGTGTGGATGTGAAGATCCTCGAACTAGCCAAAGAGTGATGTGGCTTGGTGTTCCACAAAGGGTAGATATATTCCCCAAGGTCTTTCACCCCACCCAGACTTAGGGTTTTTATGATTTGGCAGGTGGGAAAAGAGGCCCTGGGAAAAGGTGATTGAGAAGTCAGCTGGAATTCAAGGTCATTGGCTATTTGTTAATAATAGCTTTTCCTCCTTTCCTTCAAGAGGAAACATCTTGACAGATCACAAGCTCTTTCTATCAAATGGGACCAAGAGTTAATTTGAGGATGGCTCCATTTGCAGACCACCTGGTATGATGTTTGAAGGATACAAAAGTCATGCTAGAGTGGAAAAACACCCTCTGGGGCTTGGGCATCGGACACACCTGATCAAAATCCTGGCTCTAAGAACTAACTCTGGGTCCCTGGAAAATCTTCAGTTTGTTCCCTGCAAAGCAGGACTACAGGGGGCCACCTATGTGCTGATGTTTGGAAAAGATGCGGACCCAGTGTCCATGCATGCGGACCCAGTGCTGCTTGCTCACGGTCGCCATTGCTGACTACGTATTTATGAGGACATATCAAGAAAGGATAGGATTTCTAGGAAATGCAAGAGAACCCACCCTGACCCAGAATTCTAAGTTTGAAGACAGCTCTGTTCCATCAATCAAGATGTTTTCATTTGCTGTGAAACATGGTAAAAAGATTGCATTTCTAAGAACAGGAAATGAATGATTTTATAATCAAATAATTTCAGCAATTATTTTTTCTCTCCTCTGTGTTTACATGCAGCTTAAGGAGTTGCCAGGTGGTGGTGGGCCACACAGGACTCTAATTTGAGATGTTTTAAATTGGTCCAGCGGGCACCCAGGCTTTGGTTCCATCCTCATCCCCATCTTGCGACTGTAGCAAGTGTCTCCTGGGCCGGATGGTGTTCTGGGCCCTTTCCACAAGACTACTGCTGGAGCAGCATTTGAACAGCTACCTCCCTACCTTACCTTCCAAGCCCTCTCCTGCTTGGGTTTTCTGACTTAGCTCATTCCCGTCTCCTGCAGCTCTCTCTCCCTTCCCCTTCTCTCCTCTCCTTTGCTGTCATCGAATCTTCCTCAGGTCTCTTCAGTGAGCGAGTCCCCACACTTTGACCTTAGCCCCTTCCACCTTGTCCTCTTAACCTTTTTCCTGGGGGAGCTCTTCCTTTCTAGGGTGTTAATGACCACTGAGGGACAATGAGACGCCTATATTCTTTCATCCAAGTACTGACTGAGCACTCACTAGGGGCCAGCAAGAGCATTAGGCACGGGAGATAGAATAGTGAACAAGATGAAGTCCTGTCCTCACGCCAGTTACATTCTGTGGAGTGTGTGAGTAGGTAAACAGGCAATGTCAAGGACTACATTCAATCTTTTCCTCTTGCACACTTTCTCCTGGATGTCCCGTGAGCACCACTCAAACCCAACCAAATAGCCTTCTGCAGACTCCTTTGCTTCTATGCATTCATTCAACAAACAGAATACCACCCCACCCCCAAATGCAAAGTACATCTTCTTGAGGCTTAAGTTCTCTCCATGTTTACACCCCTATTGCCTTCTATACCAGGTCTGTTGGAATTATTTAACGGAGCTTCTCAGGCCCACACAAAGTTCTGCTGCTCACCTCCAGCATGGCTCTCAGCTATGAAATGACTTCTTGTTCACCTTGTTGAGATCCTACTCCCCACAACAAATTTCCCAAAGTCCAACATGGTTTTCACTCCACCTTCCTTCCGCTTCATATGATACAGTGGAAGGCTCTATAGCTCTGGGTCAGATAATCTCTATGGGATCCTGAATGTTAATTTTTAGCTGTATGATGGTGAGTAATTTGGCTTAACTTCTCTGAGTATTGGTCTTCTTCATAAACTAAATGCCTCTTTGAAGGTTTGGAAATAATCTATGGATCTCAGTAAGTGAAGGCTGTGTGCATTGTCAAAATGATGGATGCCAGCTGGTGTGAGCTCCTGTGACCTCCCCTCCTCTTCCTCTTCCCCCAGAAGAACTGGCAGACACCAGTCCACCTGCCTGGATTGCAGATTTTTTTCTTCTTACACTTCCTCCTAGACTCACTCATCATTTCCCTCTTCCTCACCTTTCATCTTATCTCCACAGGTCTCTTTCACTCCCTCCTCTCCAACTACTTCCTTGAGCTCCACTTTTGCCTTCATCTCTGCCCTCCAACTTTGTGAGGAAGGGTCTCTACTGGTTTTCCCCCAAGTCATGCCATTAGCTCTTAGAGCAGAGATCTGCTGTCTTTGCACTACTGCTGAAACTGCCCCAGTCAGACTTGCTCAAGACACCTCAGCACCAGACCTAGAAGTGTGCACAGTCCCCCGCTACCCCTGTGCCCTCAGGGGCACATGGCAACCCCCTACTGCCCTGCCCCTCATTTTGGTTTAACCTTGAATCTCCTGAATTCCATGACAGAGTACTCTGTAGTCTTCATCCTTCTTCATGGCTAGATCTCTCTCTCCTGTGCTTATATCTTGTTGCTTATTCCCTAAGCAATCTCTCCCCCTCCCCTAGTTCCCTCTGTCCCTTGGGAATCTCACGTACCCCTATTGGTTTAATGCCCTTCTTTAGCCACAGATCTCTCTCTCCCTCCCCTCCACTTCTCTAGTTCCTCCATCCCCACCAACCTCTGCTGGGTAATATCACATGGATAACTCAAAATCTGTCTGGCAAGATCAACCTTATACTTGCCTTCTCCATCTAACTGACCTTTCCCAGTATGCTTTGTTCCAATTGCCTCAACTGAAAACCCCGGATAGCAGAAAACTCAGCCAGTGAATTCTTCATTTAATCCCTCCCCCACACTACGAATATTCTTGGAGCACTACGAATATTCTTTCTGCCAGGTGTCAGGACTGAGGCAGGGAAGAAGGGAGTCCCAGTGTGTGTTCTTATAATATTTAGTCAGTGGGAAGTAGACTTGGGTTTATCTTTTGGTTAAACCCAAGGAACTGGTGAGTTACAATTGGGGTGGGGTGCTCAGGGAAAAGTCTGGAGATTGTTGTTTCAAATACTTTCTGCACCCACACTTCTTCTCTAATGGTTGCTAATGCCTTGGCTTTAGGGCCTTGAGATTCTAGATTTGTGCACAACCTCTAATAACTTTGTCCTTCCCCCAGCTTTCATCCATCCTCCACATGGCTGTCCGATTAATCTTTCTAAAGGACAGATTTGCTCATGCAAACATGCTGCAATGGCTCCCATGACCTTGCTAAACGGGCCAGAGTCCTTGTATTGACGTTCAAGTCCTGCACAGTCTAGTACCTGCTTATACTGACATTCACTTCCCACTTTTTGCATGTGACTCTGCTTCATCAATATGCCCCCATACATATTGTTTCTCAAACCTCCTAGGCACTGATTCATGTTATTTCCACAGTGTCGGAACCTCTGAACTTCACCTCTGTAGGTTTAGATCCTCATCCCATTATTTACTAAGTGACCTTGAACAAGTGAGTCACTTTTTCCATCTGTAAAATGGAGGTACTAAGACCTATGCCCAAGGCATGTTGTGGGCATTAAATGAGATTGTGTTTGGCAAATAGAAGGTATTAACATCATCATCATCATCATGATCACCATGATAATTATCATTGTTGTCAGCATTATCATAATCAGCAGCAGTATACACTTTCAACTATCACTCCCTCCATGAAACTTCCTGGATCTATTAGGTAGGTGTGTGTGGTGGTGTCTTTCCTTTTCTGAAACACACGGAACTTACTAAGGCAGCCTTGTCTTCCTCCAGCTCCTGAAATGTGTCCAGTCATGTCTTTCCCTCCCCAGTCACTGTGCGCTCCCCCCACCCCCTGCAAGACCTGTGTTTTGTTTATTTCTGTTATCCCAGAGTTATCAATCCTCCTGGTTC